AACAAAATTCTAATACAAAGTGACGTGGAGTAGCTTGTTGTTCCGTGACTAGAACTCATCTGAATTGTGGTCATTTTGATCCCTCTTTTATATGGATTGATTGACGTCATTGGTCTTGTTGTTTCGGCATAACTCCTTATTTAGCAATAGGCCACGTTCGTTTGACCTACTTATCATTTTATAGATTACATCTTTTAATATATATTACTGGTCTTATTAAATGTAGGTGTTTCTAGGAATATATATTAATCTTTTAAAATATACATTGTTATTATTGGTTTATGGCCAACCTATTAAATGTAGGTGTTTCTCAGAATATATATTAATCTTATAATATTTTAAATTAATAGATAGTCTATGATCAAATATGGGTGTGTAACACCTGTGATATTGTGTTACGCACAATTCTATTTATACATGTTTTTGTGGTAGCCCATAACAGTTTACTTACCTGGGCTCTTTGTTTCTTTGGTGCCATTATATTTTTTAACACCACAAAAATAAATAAAAAAATTGACTGACAGATATAACGCGCGTATACGATTAAAAAAAATGTCTCTGTTACTGAACAAACAAGTATATATGTTACTAGTTCAGTTAACTTACACGAAGTGAACAATTGGTGTTAAATATAAGAATAAACAATTATTGTACATGGGCTAAATTTAATATAGGCACAGACATAATATTGTAAAGTTTATAAATATTTAAAATATCAAGCCACTTCCAAGAACTGAGTAATTTATTAAACATTCATTTGCCTTTTATAAACCTTTTATTGTAGAAATATGGAATTCATAAACAAATAATACATATCGCTGTAATGATAACTAACTTCTTTTATTCCAAAATAAAAGACTAAATATTACTGACATATTATCTTATTCAGTAACATTTTATGCATCATACAAAACGTAAAATAAAATAAATAATATGGGTATAGCCGTAAGCCTGTAACGGTCAACTAGCGAATCATATATTTCATATCTAAAACTTCCATGTAAATTATTTTATAATTTTGTTCATCATAATAAAAATTACTTTTTATTATAAAATAAAACTAATTACACACAATATATTTTTAATTTTTAAAATTTCTAAGTATATGTCATACTTCCGTGTAGCCAACATATTTTTAACACATTTACAATATATGTAGGCAGTGGCGGCTCGTGGATTGGACGACGGGACGATCGCACCTCCTACTAAAATTAGTAAAAATGTTGCGACCCTCGTGTTCAAATGAATCGTACAATATTGTTGATAAATGAAATAGATATTTATTTAAGTTCAAGAGAAATCACATAGATAAGTTATAAAATGTACGGAGTGGAGATTCCTTGTGCACACCTACATGCGTCAGAGGGCTCGGAGCGATAAACTCGTAAGTCTTAACGGTCAGGCAATGTACATACGGACAGAGTCCGTGGAATCTCCAATGGTGATGTGTGGGTGACTTGAGGTGTGGAATCTAACTGCCTTCTCGGCTCTCGCCCTTTGGTATTTATGTCGGTCCTGCGACTGCTAGGTCACTATTGTTTGGTGAAATCGTCCCGGACGTCACGTACATCCTGTGGCCATCGGATTTCTACATTTGATAATTAGCCATTTGTACGCGCCCTGGGTTGCATCATGAAAATGTGATGTTGCACTCTTGAATTATTATTTTGGAACGATATTTTTTTGGAGTAGGTTATTGTGTTAATAGTTGTATTTACATTTTAAAAACGTACTTAATTTCTATGGACATTTCCTTATACAAACGTGACGATTTCTCTTTAACATTTATTATGTGAAGGTGGACACGTACACAATATTACGTGTCTTACAACAAAAATAAGAAAATTTATTGTATAGTCTTAATTCTGATTTTTAAAAAATATTTTTATTTAAACTGGAATTTTTAAATATAATATTATTATATTATATTATACTAGCTTCTGTGTGCCTTGCTACGGGTGAAAATCGCTTAATATTTATTAATCAATAATATGAATTATTAATACTAATAATATGAATTATTAATAATCAAAACATTATTATGTAGGTATAATGTATCATGCAATACTACCACGGTTACTACTTGTGATAATTATTAACTTTTGATAATATACGGGTGGAAAATTGATACGCCTTCGGCGTCAAAGGCGTTCGCTATCTAGGAGACCCCCACCTAATTGTTCTCTTAAAAATACTACGGCACCATACTTACGGTACTATAGTGACAATCGATGCATGGTGTCAAACGTATAAAAACCAATATAAGAAATATACAAAACATTTATATGTACATAAAAAAAATGAAAAAGCAGAGGGCAATTCGCAGTGTAATTGAAAATAATCAAACATAATAATAGTACTGTTGCAAAGTTAAGTGTCTTCTCAACAATAGTTAAATATGTAAATTATCATTATATTTAATAGAATGGAATAGAATTTAAAAAGTGGTATAAATATGCATATAGATTTTGATATTTCAATTACAGAATAAAATATATATTTATGATTACAAAAGCATTATATGTGTCTTCTTCCATAACTTAACTTACCGAAGGGACACTTTTATGAAAAGTATTTTAGATACAACAATTTATAAGTATCATAAACGCTAGAGAACTTGACATTTTTTTTTAGATATGAAATTATCAAAGTAAAAAAACTTTCAAATACAGTACAGTCGGTTCAAAGTAAGAAGACCTAATGCATAAAAAGTATTTTTTCAATAATAAATAATGAATATATATACAAAGCGAGTCTGTAGACAAAAAACTATAAAAATGGAGTAAGACCTTCCTTGATGTTAACTGAAAAAAAAAAATTTGAGCGATAAGTGAATACTCTATAATAGGTGTGTATACATTAATGTTGGCGTTAGTTGCGTTTTACACTATAATCATTCTCAGTGAAAAACGCATCCAAGAAAGACCACGTGGAGGTCGCCAACTCCTTTCTCACATTCAGAGAACATAAAAGTACTTATCGACAATATTTAAAAAAAATATACAGAATGAATATATAAAAATATAAATAATTTATGAAAAACAGAGTGTGAAAGTTTCTTGTAATCATAGCATATTTGTGCTTTTAAGCTTAAAGAATATGTGAAGATAATGTATACAAATATGAAACATAACATAATCAAAGAAAATATTTTTATCATTATATAAAGTCATATCAGTATGATACGGTTTAAATAAATAAACTATACCAAGATTTTTCTTATAATATTAGGAGAAAAGTGTAATAATAACCAAGCTCTTGAGTACAACTGTACTACACTGGTGTTTGAGCATTCGTTAATTCATTAATCTGCAACCCACTATGAGCAAAATAAACAATATATAGTTTAAGATATTTTATAAAGACATTTATATCATAGAGGAACTTGAGCGTTAAATATTGTATAAATACATACCAAGTTTTCTTTATTTTATAGCTGGGTTTGATTTGAATATTATCATTAGCACCAATAACACGTTGAATTCTATTCCATTCCAAAGAATAAAGTGCAACGAAAACATTCAACAGCTCTCTCCCTATATTATTTGGAAAAATTAATCAAATTGAATGTATTTAACATAATTTAAAGACACAAATGAGTCATAGTTGAACGAAGAGCAACAGTACTACACTCATGTTCGAGCACTTGTTAATTAATTACTCTGCGAAACACTATGAGCCAAGTAAACAATACAGTTCAAGATATTTAAAAAAAAACACTTGTATCATAATGGAATAAGAGTGTTAAAAATTGTAATCCGTACCACGATTTCTTTATTTTATAGCTGGGTTTGATTTGAATAGTATCAATAGAACCATTGACACACATCTATCGCATTAACACTATCTCCCTATATTATTTTAAAAAATAAATCAAATTTAATGAATTTAACATATTTAAAAAACAAATTTATAATTATTTAACATAATTAAAAGATACAATTAAAACATAGTCAAACGATAGACTTAATTAACAAATGTGAACAAAAGAATTATAAAAAGTGTTGCATATAATTCGATTTTTAAATTTTACAACTGTTTGTGATAATAGAAATATCAGTAAAGTCAATCAAATTCCTTCTCAATGAAAACATCCCATAGCTCTCCCCTAATATTTTATGGTAAATCAAAAAAAAAAAAATGAATGTAATTAATAAGTTTTAAAAACACATTCAAAGCATATATTGTACAAAGAAAATAATTTACATTAAGACTAAAACATACTGGGTTTACTATTATCCTTATAATATCACATAAGTTTTAATTTATATTCATTTCCTTTCATCCAAGTGTAAAAACTGATACTGTAAGATTTATTTATACAAACCGAAAATATAACATTCAACATATATAATTGAAAGAATGAGTTGAAAAATGCATGGCATACCATGTTTTCTTTAGTTTATAGTTGTGTTTGTTTTTATTAGTTAATCATTAGTACCGAAGTAGTAACTGCATTATTCCTTAACAAAGAAAATGTTTAATGAAAACATACAACAGACATCTCCCTATATAACGTGGAAATATAAATCAAATCGCATGTATTTAAAACAAATATATAATAATATAACATGATTTAAAGACGCAATATCAATGAAAACATCCAATAGATATCTTCTAATATTTTTTAGTAAAACATATAAAAATAAATGTGTAATTAATAAATATATTAAAAACACATTTAAAGCATATAGTACGTAAGAGGTAAAAATCACAATTGATTCACAGTCGAACGATGGACTTAATAAACATATGCGTCAACAATAGAATTATAAAAAGTATTGCATATAATTTGATTTTTAATTTTTATAACTGTTTGAAGTAATAAAAAAAATGATTTACAAAAAAATACTATAAGACTCATTTACTAAAACAAATATATTATTTTAAAATATAATACATACCATGTTTACTTCATTATTTTATAGCTGTGTGTGCATTTTATAATATCATTACAGCATTTCACATCAAATCAATCTGGTAAACAAAATATATTTTATATATTGTATTAATATGTAATATAATATATTACATACATTGCAGGTGTATGTAATGAAAACATCCGATTACCTATATCTCCTCATGTTTCTCGGTAAAACAAAAGCTCTGTTCTAATATATTTTGGAAAAACGAATAGTAATTAATGTAAAATGTAATGTAGTACGAAAAAGATAATTTACAAAAAAGGTAGAGAACCAACATACTCGGTACATTTATTTCATAACGAATTGGAAAAATAAATCAATTTGAATGTATTTAACGTGTTTAAAAAAAACAAATTTCCAATCGTTTAACGTAATATAAAGACACGATTAAATCGTAGTCGAACGATAGACCTAATAAACATAGGCGTGAACAACAGAATTCTAAAAAGTATTGTATACATACTTTTTATATCCGATTGTGTTTATAAAAATATCATTGACGTCAATCACGTTGCTTTTTATTTTTTGGTAAGACGAATAAAAATTTATGTAATCAACAAATTTTAAAAACATGTACAGTGGAAAGAAAAAAGGTAGAACTTACCGGGTTTTCTTATTTACATTACATCGCAAAAGTTTTAATTTCCTTTCGTCCAAGTGTAACGACTGATGTTGTAACACTCATAACTAAAACCGAAAAAAATAACATTCAATAAGCGGTGGAACGAAAAAGTTTCAAAATGTAATAAATACCGAGTACTCGTTGTTTTATAGCTGTGAACGTTTTGAACAGTATCGTTAGCACCGAAGACCCTTTGAATTCAATTCATTTCCGTTCAAAAAAAGTATAAATAAATCAAACAACAGCTATCTCCCTATATCGTTTGGCAAAACAAATCGTATTGAACGTACTTAACGCTGATAAAAAAACAAACTATATTTTAAATGTATTATGTTTTCTTCGTTTCACAGCCGTGTGTAAGCGTTCAACAATAACGTTACACATCAAATCCACATGAGTAAAGAAAAACCGATAAATAATTTTCGGTAAAACAAAAAAGAAAAAAACGGACTAGACGGACGGCGGAAAATGAATAGAAAAGAAACCGCGAGCGGGATCAACACACTCTCCCGTCGATAAAGCGTCGATTACATTGAGCGAGTTTACAAGCTGATAGTTAGCTA